GGTCATCTAATAGATCAACTTTGGCTCTTGACATAGTAGCAACTTTTCACTAACAACTTTTCCATATATAACGGCTACAGATAGTTAGCTTCCCAAGGAGCAGGTGCCAAGTTAATGGGTCTACTTCATCCCATCAAAGACAACTATTAAGAAATTCTAAAATCTTAGCAAGGAAACATGTAGCCTATGTTACCATTTATCATGACTGATGGGGGGTTCTTAGTAACTGCTTGATGTTTGTCTAAGGCAGGAGAATGCCTTAGCTAAAAGAATTTTCTTTTACCTTCAGTTCCAGGAAAAGGGATTGTCAGGAACAAGGGGCAGTCTTGGTCTCAGCCCCACTGCCCAAAATGCTGTTTTCACCGATCTCACGTTACAAAGAAATTTGAGCATTATTTGAGCATTACTTAAGTCTCTTGCATATCTGCCACCAGAAAGTACTCCAAAAGGTGATATAAGTCAGAACTATGCATAATCCTTCTCACGCCACTGGCACATTTGATTGGATGTGTACTGACTCTCTTAAGCTATAGATTTCCCAAGACTTGAGAGCATCAAACCAAAAAAGTATATTAATGTGTTGGTTTGCCAAATATAACACTTGCTGGACTCAATACTGTAGAACCTAGTCAACATGATTAACTATTTTATTCTAGGCCAAATACCTATGAATTATCTCATTAATCTTAAGAAGTCTAGATACTAGGTACTATTACCTCCATTTGGAAGAAGAGGAAATTGAGGTACCAAGGTTATCTTAAGTTATGTAACCTTCTGCAAATCATGGAGCTAAAATTCAGCCCTGATCATCTGATTCCTGAACTCTTATCCTTAAGCACCATACTCTGCTTCTTCCACAGTTAGCCAAAGATCACGCCAGTATAAATGAATTATTGCTTTCTGTAAGTGGGTGTCTCACAGGGTCAGATCACCTGGGCACCTGTCTTCTTTTAAGTCATCCAACCTGTCTTAGAACTAAGCCACAGCTCTAAGGCAAGTCAAAGAATCAAAGACAAAGGTTCTGTCTAAACCTTTCATTCAAAAGCACTGCTAGAGCCACTAGAGGTGACCACATGTTTTAAAGTGCATTTGTTCAGAATATGAAGCATCTGTGAAAAACAGAAGCATTGGTTAACTGTTCTCATTTAAAAACCTGAAGGGAAGGATAGTGCTCTAGTTTGGAACACTTTAATACAGAGCCACCATACTTTGGACTCAGCAGTGTTATCAGCAAAACGCACTGTCTAACAAATAACCTCTAATAGCAACTTCTTGACTGGGAGATTGTTGTACATTTTTGTAACATGGACACAAAGTACACGGGAAAGTGATAACATCTTACACAAAAAAGATCAGGCTGTTGATCATGTACTATTGGATGTAGGTGACCTTTGCCCAGATACTTAGACTTGGGCTTGTTTTTGTGGATTCAAAACTAAGATCTCAGTGAGTGAGCAATGGATTGAGTCCGATGTAAATCAGGATGAAGGAATTGAATATTCCTAAAACAAAGTTTTTCTGCAACCTGAGCCACATTGGGTTGATGCTGGGAATCCTTACTCTGTCTGTGACAGACAGATTTTAGAACATAACAGTAGCATTACAGAACAGGAAAGGTTGTGACCCAGTCCCAGAGTGCCATATGGTCTAAACCTTATTAGTAAGAGGTCTTAGACTCTAATAACTTCTGTTTTCCCCCTGGATTTGAATGGTCCTAATTTGAAAAACCATATCAAGTTAAACCAAAGTTTCTAATCTGGAACTTAAGCACCAAAGTATGTGAAGACCCTACACAAGGTTGTGGCACCCATTGAGCCACTACATCAGAAACTGATAAATTTCCATCTATTGACTGGGACAACTGACCGGGCAAGGGATCTACAATCTCCAGAAATATTTCACTGTGCCTTCTGTTATAGTTCTGGAGAAGGCAATCTCCTCACAAGTGACTTAGTTTCTTTTTGAAGGCCTCCACCTCGGGGCCCCACCCCCTTTTCTAAGGGTTTGGAATATATGGAATGGGCTGCAGGAAGAGTGAGATGTAGAGTCAGCTTGCTGGGATAAAGGACAGTGGTGCTCTAGTGATGAGAACAGGCCAATAATGACAGTAACCAGAAGCAGGATATAAAGAAAAAATGGGAGAAAGGTTGATGGAAGGCCATGATACATTAAAACTATTAAGTGCCTAGAAAGATGCTACTGATGGTTTTAAAGCACGGGAATGAACGTTCCGCATTCAAACCTTTCTGCAGCCACGTTCTAAGACCCTCCTCCCTCTATTTTGTGTTCTGCCAAGATACACCTACGCTCTGGAATTAGTGTTTATTCTGGTGTGGCCAGTGCCTTCCCTGATATCACCCCACTGTCCAATTCTAGTTTTCATGACCTTCTACTGTAATGTATTTCCCTTCAATCTTCTGACATACATGTGAGGTTAAACCAGAGTTCCTATTTTGTTGCTAAAAAGGCTGTCGAAAACCTAGGTCGGGTACACTTTTCTACCAGATATCCCTTAAGACAGGAGGCATTCAACTCTACATTGAAACACTTTGAAGAACAGACCTGCTTCTAGGAGAACAGGTCTTTGTCTTCCCCGGGAGAAAGTTTACATTCCTTAATGCCCTCTTATGCTCCTTAGAACACACTATCTGTTTCACATGGCCCTCCAAAAAGTGGCACAGGAGTACTTTACAAAGAGAATACAGTGTTTCACAGCAGCCTAAGGACAAGTACAAGGCCTCAGCCCGCAGTGCTTATACTGAGGCAAAACCTCCAGGTGAAGGGCCTACCTCCTGGCTCTGTAGGTGATTCAGCAACATCTGCTGCACCGAGACAAAAGAGTGCTTATTACAGTCCCCATCATGGAACTGATCAACCATCTTCATCATTCCCCCTCATTCCAGTGTCTCCAGCCATTTGTGTGGCAGCCCACAGACAGGTATCACTCACCACCGGAGCCCATGGATACAGACCCTCTTAAGTCCCGGGTGCCCTCACAGCAATAAGGGACCCATGCGGAATGAGAAGGCAGGGCTCCTACTTGCGTGCTGTAGCACGTGGCTTTCCCCAAATGACTCAGATGTTAGCTTTGGATTGGAAATCACCCAGGCAGGCTTACAGAAAGCACGGAGAAGGGTAATAGAATCTCAAATCATTATCTTAAAGCTGTGTGAAGAATACTCAGAGTTGCTGATCAAAAAGGTAAGTATGGTAATGAGATTTTTTTTAAAAAGAATTCCACTTGAGATAAGGGTGTGTAGCCCTGCATTTCCTTCACATGTAAGCAGATCCCGTTGGTCATTGTGCCAAATGACATCAGCATGCATGATTCTCTTATGTAAGCTCTCAAAGCAAAGGGCCTATAACCAGAGTGCTATTTAATTTCCAACTTTTGTACATACTCAAGTGAAGAAAGTTATTTTAGACTGCAGTTCTCATGATGCCTCTTTGAGAAGCTTCAAGTCGATTTCTTGGATCATGCTTTCTTCACAATACACAGCTTTGCTCAGAAAATGTCCCTATGAGCTTGCTGCCTTCTGTCACATTTGTCGGGTACT